ATGTTGTGAAGTAACTGTCTTGTCATGATATTCATAGGAGATGTGGTACTTTCATGATAAAAGAGACTTCAAGGATTTAAATCCATTTGAATATTGGAGAGTAATTCTTCAGTAACAGAGATGAACTGAACATTTTAATGAAGCCTTGTCCATATGTTCTGCATGAGGATTATCAGTCTGTCTGCTCTTTCCGTCCTTTTCCATTCTGCTGTACTATCTTTCCTTCTGCTGTAGCAGAAATAGCATATTAGCACATCTTGCACATGGGATGGTTTCAGAAGTTCCTGATTCTTCCCTTTTTGGAAAGCTTCTGTTTGTGGGGGTGACAAAGAGACCAAGTAGGACAACTTGCAAGCTTCACAGAGTTCAGGGCTCCCGGTGCCACTTTACTTTGTTCTTGCTGCCCAGCTTTGACTTAAGTAGGCAGGAGGCAACCCAATGAGAAATGTGGTGGGGGTACTTAAAGTATTGATGACAAGTAGCCAAAAGTATGTGGCAAGGATTCTCCACGGAAATGTTTTTGAAGAAGCTGTCGCTGCACAGGAATGTTTCTGATGTTGTTCAGAACTTAATTTGTTTAGTTCTTCAGAATGTTTTTGTTACAGTCTGTAGTCCTAACTGAGTTTTAAGTCATGCTAAGTCCTGTTGTCAACCCCAGAACTGTCATAAATCTTCACTGCTATTTCAGTGTGTTTGTGGATAGTTTGCTTGTGTATGTAATAAGAATTCAGTCAAGATGTCAATTTAATACATAGGTGCTAAAAATGCATTTATCTGGAGTAGATTCCTTACTCTTCATGCAAAATTAGTAATAGAAAGATCATGGATGTTCACAGTTTGTATCAGTAGCCAGCATGTGTTCTGTGTTGTATTGGAGTTACACTTTGCTTTCTTCATGTGATGTCAGACTGTAGAGACCTGGTGTTTTTTCAGTTTTCTGATGTGTTTGTACTTCACTATTTCCAGACATGAGTTGTCAAGAGTTAGCCATGGAACTAGTTTGGTAACCTATTGCAGCTAATTCTGTGATTGAACCAGTGCTTATGGATATCACATGATGTCTTTTTTTCAAGTAATTGCAGCAATAAAACCCTCTGGAAAGAGTTTCCTTTGTCATCTGAAAAATGTTTTGGTAGCTCGGTTCTAAGACTGTTAACTGCAAAGTAGAGTGCTGCTTTGGAGCATGTAAAGCTGCTGAGAATGGCAGAACGGGTATTCCTCAGAGCCTAATTTCTTTGTTCACTTATACTGAGGACTTTGTTCAAAAGGTTTTGGGCTGCAGGCAGATTTTTATTTTATTTTTTATTCAGACTAGAATATATTTAGGATTCCAAATAATTCAAAATAAGTCAGTCCGTTTTTTCAGCACTCTCTGGTGATTCTAGGGATACTAACCAAATCCACAGATGATGCAAAACAAGGAGGAACTGTTGACTTTGTCTAGGGCAGGGAGGCCCTGCGAAGAGACCTCAACACATTAGAGGGCTGGGAAATCACCAACCATAGGAAGTTCAACAAGTGCTGGATTCTGCACCTGGCATGGGGCAGCCCTGGCTGTACAGGCAGACTGGGGAATGAGATTCCAGAAAGTAGGGCCATGGAAAGGGACCTGGCAGTCCTGGACAATGATGAGTTGAACATGAGCCAGCAGTGCCCTGGCAGCCAGCAGGGCCAGCCCTGTCCTGGGGGGCATCATGGCCAGCTGGGCAAGGGAGGAGATTGTCCTGCTCTGCTCTGCAGTGGGGCAGCCTCACCTCCAGTGCTGGGGACAGTTTTGGACACCACAGTATAAGAAAGATATTAAGCTATTAGAGAGCATCTAAAAGAGACCTACAAAGACAGTGAAGGCCTTGAGGAGAAGTCGTATGAGGAGCCGCTGAGGGCACTTGGTCTATTCCGCCTGGAGAAGGAGTCTGAGGGGTGGCTTCATTGCAGTCACAACTTCCTTGTGAGGGAAAAAGGAGGGGCAGGCACTGATCTCTTTTCTGTGGTGCCCAGTGACAGGATCCAAGGGAATGGCCTGAAGCTGTGTCAGGGGAGGTTTAGGCTGGGTATCAGGAAAAGGTTCTTCACTCAGATGGTGCCTGGAACAGATGGGCACTGGAACAGGCCCCCCAGGGGAGTGGTCACAGCACCAAGCCTGAAAGAGCTCAAAAATCATTTAGACAAAGCTCTCGGGCACACGATGTGACTCTTGGAGATGGTGCTGTGCAGGGACAGGAACTGGACTCACTGATCTTTCGGTCACTTCCAACTCACCAGATTCTGTGATTCTTCATTCACCTGAGGAAGGTGTACTGTTGGGATTTATTGCTTCCTGCTGTCTTCAGAAGGCTTGAGATATATCAGGTTTCAAAGGAGTACCTTTTAATGTCTAGGTGTCAACACTGTTCACTTCTATTTTGTTATGGTTATTGAAAATTGCTAGTTTTCTTCTGTCAGTGCTAAGATGCTCTGACACAGATGTGAAAACTTTGTAGGCAGTAAAGAGCTCCTTCACTCCACACCTTGCTGCTTCTAGTATCTGCTGAAAACTCCTGCCAAGTGGATGTTACTTTGGTGAATCTATCACTGTTCCTGATCTAGATTCTTATTTCTGAGCAAAAGAGATTTTTATCAAAGAAAAACCTCAGTATCCATACCCTCCAAGGCAGGCATTCTATCAGCTTGCTCTCCCAAGCAAAGTTATTAAAGATGAGGAGAGCTCCCCATGGGAATTAGAAGGAATGTATCACAGCAGGTCTGGTCTTGCTTTTTGAAGTAATGCTATTGTGTGTATGAGTATAGTCCCTCAGTTTTAAAAATGGAAAGGAAAAGGTGATTTAGATTGTGGGGGGAGATGACTAGGGAAATCAGATATCAAGATGGGAAGCATAAAATCCGCTGTAGTTATGAGGAGGCTGCTCTTCTCATCAGATCTAGAGATGTATTTGCACATCTAGATTCATCAGTATGTCAATGATCATTTGCTTTGGAAGAATAGTTCCCTCAGTACAAGTGCTTGAATGTTAATCTGTGTACTGGTTGTGGATGTGTTAATTTTCCTCATAACAGCTCCTGTGGTGATGTGTTTTCTGTATTTGTGATGAAAATAGTGTTGATGACTCGGGCAATTTTTTGTTATTGTTGAGCAGTGCTTACATGGAATGAAGTTCTTTTCTGCTCCTCAGCCCACTCCACTAGCGAGGAGGCTGGGAGTGCTCAAGGAATTGGGAGGGGACACAGCTGGGACAACTCATCCCAGCTGACCCAAGGGGTATATCTCACCCATATATAATGGTGTCATACTCAGCATGCACAGCCAGGAGAAGAAGGAGGAAGTGGGGTACATTTGTCTTCCCAAGTAACATTGTATGTGTGATAGAGCCTGGCTTTCCTGAGGATGGCTGAACATTGCCTGCCCACAGGAAGTGATGAATGAATTCTATGCTTTGCTTGTGTGCATGACTTTTGCTTTACCTATTAAACTGCCTTTACATCAACCTATTAATGGTCTCAATCCTATCTTTCTGATTCTTTCCACCATTCTATGTTGGGGAAAGTGAGCGAGCAGCTGGGTGGGACTTGGCTGCCTCTTGGCATTAAACCATGATATTTAGTAATGGCTGTACTGTAGTTTATTAAAATGCTGTAGCATTAGCAGCAGCACTTGGGGAAGGGATTCAGGATAAACCTCTTGGATAACTTGCTTTAGAGTCAGAGATCTGCAAAAGGCAGTTAACTTTATCTCATGACACTGGTTATTTCCATCTACTTTCTGTAGCCGAAGAGAGTAATTGTGGATTTTTCTTTATAGCTGTAGATTAACCCAGGAAGGGAACCTTACAAAAACATACAGTCACTTGTTTATGTCTGTCTATATGGAAACTGTAATCATAGCCCATAACAAAACATTCTCTCCCATAGTTAGGCATTTACATGAAAAAGCATATGTGTCAAGGTACACTGGAGATACAGTTTGTCTATCAAGGACTGGTGGTTCAAGGATGAAGTGGGGTTTTTTCAGTTGTAAAGTAATTTATTGACAAGTTGCGTGATGATAAAATGTTTCTCTGCTAAGTTGCAGTGGGATACATTCTTCTTACAATTTTTAAGTTCTCTTCTCTTGGCAGAACTATTTCATTATTAATCTGCAGCAGGTTGTTTTTGTAGTGTCCACAGAATGTATATTAAATTTGAAGTTGCAGTTTAGATAATGTTTTTCTCCAAATGTCTTTTTTCCCGCCTGCACATCCCACAATATATCTTTGACCGAACAAAATTCATGAAACTAGAAATGTTGCTTTGCAATAGATAAAAACTATTGGTAATACTTTATACTTTAGTATTGTCTTTTTAAGTTATTGAAGTATACATGTATATATAAAAAAGATAATGGCTTTGTTAATGAGTAGATTATTTGCATATATTTCTTTAATCAAATGATACTTGCTTTTGACTAAGTTGTAGCAGATTGTCAGTGTCGTCAGAAATGGGCCCATAAGAAGAAGAGGCGTATAAGAATACTGATAATTCTGTAGAAATAACTGGTTACCATGTGTTTCTGCTGCTGTCTACTTCTAGTTTTTCTGTGTGATTAAATCATTGTAGCTTACTGATTTTAATGAGTAATTCAATTGCAGTGCCTCTTTTCCAGAAGAGACCTGCATTTTGAGCAGCCTTATGACACTTGCATAGGAAGATTCTTATTTTAAAAATTAATGTGTTTTTAGTCTGTAAATGTACTGTATTAATTTATTGCCAAAGTGTAGTCAAATAGAAGACTTTAAATATAACCTTGCTAGTGAACTCTGGTGTTTTAAAGCTATTTTTGCAATTCCAGTTTTGAACTTAAATATACTAAGTTTCGCCTGTGAGAGGTAGGGACTACTCAAAATAGACTTCCATGGAATATGAGGGAAACTGTCTCATAAAAGTTAATTGTTGGGGTTTCTGAAGTTTTAAAGTATTTCTAAAATACTGCATTTCTTCCTGTTAAAAAAAGTTTTCTTACCCTGCAGTGTTCTTGGCAAAATTACTGAAACGACTCTATGGTGAAACATCATCATCTTCTCTTGTTCATACTTCAAGTAGAGAAGAGGAGGTGGTTCTTGAAAATCTTGGATCAAAATCTAAAGAAAAGAATTTGGATAATGTTCAGATTTCATCAGCAGATGCTAGCACATCAACTAATACACCCTGTGAATCATTTCAAGGTGAGACTGTGTTGTCATTTTTCTGATAATATGCTTTTAAATATAGCTGCATTATTTCAGAAGAGTATAGTATGTCAGTTTTTTTTCATTTATTGATGCCAGCAGATGAATTTGAGTACTAGTGCTAGTGGTACTTAATACCTGGAACACTTGAGGTCCTATGAAAGTCAAGAAATAGTCTTGGTGTATATGCTTGGATGCAGCATTTAATAGTAGCAAATATAAAAGTTCAGTGTAAGCTGTAGCTGTCTTTGATATAATGTTTCTTAAATAATGATAAAATTACTCCCACTGGTACAGCTCTGCTCAGCTGTTAGAGGTAAAGATGAAGGTTGGTGGGAATACATGATCCTGCCCTCCTCCTGCAACAGAAACCCCATGGGGGATGCAGATCCAACAGAAGGCAAATATTAATTGAGACACTGTGTTAGTCCCTTGAAAGATAGTTTTATGTTGTGTGTGTTTATGCAATGAGCATGGCACATGAATATTTGAAGAGGTAAATAAAAGTCCTCTTTATTTTTTTTTTTTCCAAATAAGTTGTAGAATGTGAATGGTGTGCCAAAAGATGGAGCTGGAAAATGAGGTAGCTGTGGTATTACTTGTGGGTAAAAGACTGCACAAGTATGGAATGAGTGTGAATTGCTTTGTATTCGTGTAAAACCAGATTTTTCCATAACTGGGAGGCTGTTAAACTGGCTTGAAATAGAACAGTGTGTTTCCCGAGTACAAAAAGCTTTCTACAGGGGAGATGATCAGCTATCCTTCTTACTTGCTCTCAGGGAAGAACTGGTTGTGGATGTGGTCTGGGACAGGAGAGTAACGTCTGGAAAGAAGTGAGCAGAATGATTAGTAGGGTTAGAACTGTGTGCTACCAAATAACAGATGTTTCTCTTGTTCAGGGATCTGCTTGGTAGGATTAATGAGAGGATGGGTCTGAATTGCAAAGGAGCTCTGAATAGCTGGTTCAAGAATAACCTCTCAAAAATGCAAAAAACTAAGCAAATGTGACAGGGTGCCTGACTGAGGTCAGATATGACTGGGAGAGCTGCAAAGGGAAGGTGAAGGAAGGCTAGCTGGGATAAGGTAGACACAGGAGCTGTGTCATCACGATGGAAGCAGTCCCATGGTGCCTGGCAAAGATGAGCAGAACATCTGTTAACAGTAACCAGGTTCAACCAACAGTCCAGTGACAACGGGCAAGATAATAGTGACAAGGCAGGTCTGGGGTCAAGCCAGTGTGTCAATGTGTGCATCAATTGGTCTGAAATATCCCTCTGGTCTGTTTGGGTCACCTGTCCCAGCAGTGTCTCCTTCCACTCACCAGCAACTTCTTCTCCAGCATGGAAGTACAAAAAGCAGAAAAAGCCATGGCTCTGTGCAAGCCCTGCTCAGCAATAACAAAAACATCTCTCTGATATCAATCCTTTGTTCAGCACAAATCTAGAACACAGTCCTGTACTAGCCACTGGGAAAATTATCTCTGCCCCAGCTGAAACCAGCATGCCATTGCTGTAATAGAAGGCTGCATGGAAATTTCAACTTCTGTAGTTCTGTATGTTTTATACTCAATTTGGTTTTCAAGATTAGTACTTCTGGTACTTTTTATGTAGTTAGTAATGAAAGGCATGTTTTCAAAAGGTTGATAAAGCATTAAACTTATTCTGTACAATGATATGTGATAGCATTGGGAACTAATGGTCCTTTCAAAATAGGTAACAGGGTATTTATTTGCTCTATGATAAAGGTGTGCTAATTATACACATCTATGGAGTACTTTCTTAAGCCAAAACTATCCTCATTTGTTGTGAATATATACCATTCCTTATAAATTAAGGCCTGGGAAAACTCCCACTGAAATGGGAGGTGGTGGGTAGAATCTATTTGACCTTGTGATTTATAACTCCTCTGATTTGTTTATACCTGATTCCTAATGAAAGAAAAGCTTTTTATTCAGAATCCTAATACAGGGAAAATACAGCTTATGGGATAGGAAACATGGAGTAAAAAGAACAGGTTTATATTTAGGATTTTCACAGCAGAGCAACAAGGCTGTTTTTGAAATTAACAGCAAACTAGCAAACTGGATTTGTTTTCTGTTGGAGGCATGGAAATGCCACAGTAGTACAGAAAAGGTTCTGCTTTGATTCAAGTTCAACATATAAGTACTTTAAAAAAAAAGAAGCCTTGAAGTGATAAACTCATAAGAAAAAAAGATAAATCAATTGCCCATCTGGGAAATCAAACACAACCATTCTTTTCTGGTTGTAATTTTATTTAAATTTAACAAGCTCTTGCATTTGCATGTGATTTTATAACATTGGACACTGAAAGTACATGTTTAGAGATAGGTAGAAGGTTTGAGCTATAAACTCTGTGGCCTTGATGAAGGAAATACATAAAAGCATTGATTGAATTTTTTGATCATAAACTGTTTTAAGTGACTTCTTACTTCCAGACCAAAGATTATGGGCATAACTGCAAGACAGCTGATGATTTAAGTAGCAGTAGTCAAAGATGGCTAATTGAAAGCAACAATGGAAAATGAGGGATTTTCTTTTGTAGATACTAACTCTTTCCTAGTTTGAAAGTAATTATTTCAGTCCTACAGAATACTACTAAAAATGATTCAGCACCAATAAAAAGTTGAGGATTTCTTTAAAAATAAACTTAGTATTAAGTATTTTCTAGCATTAAATAACAGATTTTACTATAAAACTCATCATAATGTCGTATTTGTCTTTAACAGTTATTCTCAGATTGTGAAAATACCGTTACCAATTTGTCTGAGCTAAACCACCACCACCTTCCCCCTGTGAGATTCTGATCTTTATTGGAATTCAGTTTGCAGCATTGCCTTTAAATTTTATTGGCATGTCTCTATTGTCCTTCCAGATGCAGTCTTTTAAGATCATACTTTTATATCCTGTAAATATTTGCATTTAGATGCCTTTTTTGAGACCAGGTTGAAGTTCAGATGCTTAAGAAGATGGAGCTTCAGGACCTATGTTAATGGTTGGTTCTCATTTAATTTTGGATCATTAACAATTTAGTATCAACAAGGGTTATCCCGTAAAGATCCTCTCATAATTCTGGAACTGAACCTCACAATAAGACCCGGAATAACTGGAGGTGGAAAGCAAATTCTGAAGGACACTGTCCTTTGTAACTAGCCCTTTCTGAATGGTAAAATTCCTTCCTGAAAAAAATTGGGAGGGAGGAAACATGGAGGTATCATTCTTCTTCTGGACCCCAAAGAAGAAGAGTAGTCATATCTTTTTACTTGAAAAGAGAAATTTTGTATTTTTAAAAGATGAACCAACCAAAACAAAAAACACACACATAGAAAAAACCCAAACCCTTCCAAACCTGTTCCCCAAGAAAAAGCCAACCAAACAGCCCAAAAAAACAGCCAAACAAACAAATGACAAACCTGAACCAAAACAAAGCACTTGCCTGTGTGCAGAATTTCAGTTCTAGGGCATAGATACTAAGATATATCTTCCCTTTGGATTACAGTTGTTCTAAATCAGATTTTTTTCCCCTTTTGTACCAATATGGTTAGTGAGAAAATGAATGTAACCAAAGTAGGGATTCTTATTCCTTAGGACAATTAGAAAAGATTTGCTAAATATTTCTCCCCTTGAGGAATTTGATTCATCCATTGCAAGAGGTATAGTTCTTAATTTCAAAAGATATAATAAAAGATTTTTCCTACTTCAGCAAAAAATTAAAGAGGGTCTAGATTACCATCTTTATTACCTTAAACCATTTAAAAGTTACACACACATAATGAACCTGATTCTTATGGCAGGCAAAGCATTAAAAGAGCAAATGGAGAGGTTAAAGCTCCTAAAATAAGAGAACATTTTCCCTAAACAAAGGATATTTTGTGAATATGCTTCCAAATGCTGTATTAAAAATGCTTTAAAACTTGTATCACAAAAAGAAAAAAAGTACCTGGCAAAAGACTGGGCATTTTAAAATATAAATTGCTCACACTGGTTATGGGCTTTGGCTAAATTCTGTCCTGATAATTGATTTTGTTAGTTTTTGACCTTTGTTAGGGCCAGATCTACTTGCAACAAGGATTAATACAATGAAAAACATTTCTTGTGAGGTCTGCAGTTCTGTGATTTCTTTGCTTTTTTGTTGATATTTTAAAACCTCAGTAATTATTTCTACTACCTTTGCAGTATATATTCAAAAGTGACATGCATGCTTCTAACTAGGGATTTACTTCTCAGAATTACAGAATGGGTCAGGTTGGAAGGGTGTTGACAGTGAGTCAACTGGTCCAACCTCCCTACTCAAGCAGGGTCGTCCTAGAGCACATGGCACAGGATTTCAGAGCCTCTCTGGGAAATCAGTTCCATTGCCCACATAGTAAAACTCTTCCTTATGTTCAACTGGACCTTCCTGTGCAGCTGTTTCTGCCCATTGCCTCTTGTCCTATTGCTTGGCACCACCAAGAAGAGCCTGGAAATGTTTACTTGGTAGCCCATGCTTTAGGTACTTAGACACATTGATAAGGTCCCCTCTCAGTCATCTCTCCTTGAGGCTGAACAGACCAGCTCTCTCAGCCTTTCCTAGTACAAGGAAATGGCCTCCTTAGTCTCCGACCTTTTTCTTGGTCAGAATTATAACTACCTTTTATAAGACTTGGGATTTACTGATGAGTATCTAGTATCTTTCTTATAAAAATGGAAATTTCAGAGTTGCTGAAGAAGGATAATTGTATTCAAGTGAAATACATGATATTCAGTTTGTCAGTAATAAAGTATGCTGTGCCACTTTAGATTTTTGCTTTTTCCCTAATTCTGAAAAAGGAATTTGAAGTGCAAAGAGCCTAGTCAGAGTTTTGGATCTTATGGAGACAATTTACTTAAACTTTTATTCTTCTTCATTTATTTAAATGAGGAATAGTGGGGAATGTTACTAAGCTGTTGCTAGTAATATGTTTTAATTTTCAAAAAAAGCTGGAATCTATGTTATGCTAT